AGAAAAAAGAGAAAAGATGAAAGAGGAGATAGATCAGAGGTCTTCAAAAGGGGGTCTGTGACCCAAAGGGGGTCCACAGAGATATTGCATGGGGGTCGCAAAAGTTTTGGTTGATTAGACTTTTTTATATTTTTATTGAAATGTCTTTAAATACACATTTAAATGAATTCAACACACTGTAGCAAACAGATAAATTGAGGCAGTAGATGTCTTTTTGTCAACAATGCACACATTCAGCGACACACAGGAGCTCTTTCAAACTGGGCACCGTTTCATTCACAACACCTATCCCATCAACGAGGAATCGGAATCAGAATCCGAATTAGAAATAATTTAATAATCCCAGGGAGAAGTTACTTTCGTTACATTACTCCATCTGTAATAGGGTGACTATAGGACCAGTTTGATATAACACAATTCCATACAATATATATATAATTAGGGGTCCCCACTCCATTCGCCATCAGTTTGGGGGTCATTGGCCTGGAAGACTTTGAAGACCCCTGCATCAGATGATTGCAAAGCCCAATAAAGAGTTTGGTAAATATTTAATAGCTGTGTGTTAAGGCTGCATTCCGAGCTTCAACAGCCACCACACCCAGATGTGTCCAGGTCCTGGGCTACAACCGTCCTATAGTTTAGCCACTCTTAAACCACACATAATAACAAAAACATCTAATCTAAGGAGCATTTAAGGCATCCTTCTGTTGTCATCCTTTATGGAGATGCTGGTTGATTTTTTTTTTAATACAAATTACTGCTTATTTGAGTGACATAAATGTACTAAACAGAAACCAGCCTGACCCAAATCTGTGTAGACGAGCTAAAGAATATTTACAAAAGAAAGATGAGAGAGCAAACAATAGCATTAAGCCAAAGGTCGTCTTCCTGAAAACCTGAGTAGAACCTGAAAGCCTGATCTCCTCCATGACATACAGTGTATCTATACTGTAGTACATGAAAATACTTTTAAGTAGGTTTTAATCTTGGCACATTTATAACAAAAGATATACACTTTAATGTTTTCCATATATCACAGGTGTCAATACATGTGGAGCGCACCTTCAACGTTTACCATGTCAATAACACACTGCCTAAGACTGCGGCTCAGCTCAAAATGCTTCTTCTTTTCCCATTTGTAAAAATGTTATTTCTCAAATTCCAACTGTTTAAAGAAGCATCAGCAGAATAAAGCTGAATTTAATAAAGACACAGACGGATTTCCTCTCACAACAATCATCCATTGCATTGGTGCATTTCGTTTATCCCTGTTGCCTTATTTCCTAACATGAGGAGCAGTTAAACAGACTCAAATCCTTTGGTACCTGATCCCAACCAGTAAATACTGACAGTTTCGATCTGTTAACACTGAACCACTAAGAGTTACTAAATTCAGAAATCAATCTCCGGCCTGCTGTTTCTGGAGCCAGCGTCCAGTGCACCTCTTTCTCACCACACCTCCTCCAGCTGAATTGTGGGATAGGGCAGTCTTGGTAATTACTTCCAGAGGCCCACAGAGAGAGAGAGGACCAGCTGAAATGAGAGCCCTGTGTGGATCAAGTAAATTCAACAGTTACAATACAGCATTAAAGTGCTTTATGACAACATGAAAAGACCCGACTCATTTCTCTGCATGAGAGGTTCCTGGATATTGGTCAGAAACTCACAGCCTTTATAAAACTTAGGGTAACATTCTATGCAAATGTTTCAAGCCAGAAGAAAACACAAACACAGCCGGGTGGGGGGTAAGAGTGGCATTCACTCCACATCCATGCCAACATGCACCCAAAGAGGTGTCAGAAGAAGGATCCATAATGGATCTGTGGCCCCAAGGCTCAGGAACATGTCGCTTTGTCTCCATGCTTTCCCAGGAATCTGCAGCAGCAAACTGGGGGCTGCCTTCTGTATGTGGGCAGCACTGGCAGGAAGGGTGGAGAGCCAGCACCAACCAAAGGACGCACAAAGTGATCAAAAGATCCACTCAGCAGATTGATCAAGGAGATAACTTTCTGATCAGCTATAAAAGTCATGATAAGTTCTGAAACAATAGTGTTTTGCATGAATTCCTGGTCACATAATCACTTTCCTGCTAGATAGTGTCTGTTGTAACAGTCCCAGGACGTCCAGTGCGCAGCTGAGGACGCACGGCTGGAAAATCGATCCATTTTACGACCTCATTTGGAATTTCCTTCCCAAGACGCAAGGCGAAATATAAAGCGGGGAATCAGAGGGATAAGAAATGGAAAGCGCAAAAATCTATTGTTCTGGGAAGGTGTTTACCTTTTCTTTCAGAGTCGCTTGTTTCTCCATCCTGGCTGACTGCGTGTGTTTGTATAACGGCTTATCGGTCTCATCCCATCCCAATCTCTGCAGATTTAGTGTCGAGCTTTTCTTGCATCAAGAAGCGCTCTGATGTTTCTCCAAATAGTCCTCTTTGCTTTGAAGAAGAAGGTAGAGAAGCGCAAAAAGGAAGTCCACTAAAAGCTCAGCTCTATGCGCTGTTCAAAAGTAACTTTCCTCTAGGAAAGTGCGCCATGTTGTCAAACCTTTTTCCTTTTTTTTCTTCCTTTTTTCTCCTTCCTTCTCTCCCCCTGTTGCCATAGCGGATCTGCTGCGCACGCAGGGGAAGGATCAAGGTCTGCAGAGTCAGGGGAATAAAATAAAATGCATCAGTTAGGTGTGCAGAAACAATGATATGCATTTATGTAAAGTGTTTAAATTGTATTGATGCACAAATTATTTCAAGAGGGATATTACTGTCCAAGTTTTCAGTCCCCTTCAGAGATGTTTCCAAATGTCTATTTAGGTAGACAACATAAGATGCATTGAACTACTCAACCCTCACAAGATAATTAATATACAATGAAAAAATATGCCGATTATTCAACAATTTGCACAAAATAATTTAATCAGGAGTTTAGATGAAACTGTTTTTATTTCTTCAACTCTTGAAAATAACTTTGACGCTTTCCTCTGCTCATTGGAAAATGTATATATCAATAAATGAAGCATTAGACAGACTTTTTGACATCAGATATTAAACGGGACTTATAGGAATTCTTAGAAATTGTCACAGTCTTGTTAAGTTTTCTTTTGAGTATTCAGTTTTACTTTGCTCCATGTTTTCTAGTTTTATTGGTTTAATTCCGATTTTGCTGTGTTTACTGGATATATTTGAGTTCTTAGTTTGTTTGTTTTTTCTTTGCTGCCCTCTTGTGTTGGTCTCCTTTTCCCTAGCTCCCTTCTAGAATCCTCTGTTCACACCTGCTCCCATTCAGCTCATTAGTCCTGCCTTTGTTCAGTCTCCCATTTAAACTCTCACCGTGCAGCTCCTCAGTGCTGTTTTTTTTTTTTTATTATTATTTTTTTTTTTTTTTATCTTTCCATGACTTCTCATGCTTGCTTTCCCTGATGTCTCCATGGTTCTGGTTTGTTTAGCATTTTTATGTTGGCTTTTTGGATTCCTTCTTCTGTTACCGGTGATAACTTCATTAAATCTACAAGAATTCGCCTCTGCATTTGGGTCCTCAAAACCTCATCCAAACCTCACAGAAAATAAGTAAAAAAAAGAATACTCCACTGGATTTTAGGGTTTACAGAAACACAATGTTTTTTAAATCTGGTCTTTAAAAAGTGTCCTGTGTGTGAGTTATGCATCTCCTGAAGAGAGGATCTTTGTGTAGAACCTGGTGAAGGCTACACAGGTGGAGCTCATCAGAGTGCTGGGCTTGGAAGAGCAGCAGAGACTTCACTTCGTGCTGGTTTCTTGTTGTGGTGTTTGTTGCTCTTTCGTTTCCTCGCTCCTCATGGGTTTTTTTCCTTTATGTTCACCTAGGTTTTAGTTTTGTTTTTTGTTTTTTCCAGTTTCCTGGGTTATCTTATTAAATCTGCAATGTTCAAACTCATCTCTGTATTTGGGTCCTCAAAAACCTCCACTCAACCTGACAAAAACATAAATCATATCCAAGCTTCGTTTGTTCCAAACTGTTTGTTTTGTTTTTTTTTTATCTGAAATATTATTTTAGAATTGTGCTTAAATAGAAACCTACCCTTCTATCCGAATTAAGAATTAGTGGATATACTTTAAGACAAGTCTTTGAACATCAGAAACCTCTTGAAAAGCAGAAGTTAGTGCTGTTGTGCTGGAGATTTGGGTCCACAAACTGGTCTTGTCAAAAAATATCTTTCAGCTCTTGGTCTTCGTAAACATGCATAATGTATGAGTTCAGATCACAGTATCTTGGTGCATTTAAATGCAACCAACTCCTTGAACATATAAAGCCTATCAGTTGTGCTCCCTCTGTACATGTTTGGCCTCACCTAAATGTTGGAGCAGAGTTTCTGATGGGAGAGGTTAGTCTGGAGAACTATTCTTTTTCTATTTTTATATTTTATATATAGCCAACCTTATATTTTAAATATTTTAAAATATAAGCCAACCTTATATTTTAAATATTTTATATTTTCTTTTGATGTAAAAAAAAAAAAATCTAAAATCCTCTTCCTTGTATGGTGTGTCTATGAGACGATATATCAGTAAATTTGTTTAATAAAATAATACTTTTAATATAACTGTAAATGCTTGCTATACATGGTAAATATATTGAAAACGCTTGCGTTAATAAAATGAATCTTTAAAAAAATTATATAACTTCTAAAGCTCTTAGAGTTTATGTTTTTATTCTTCCCTTGTAGTGTGAAGAGGTAAAGGTTACTCAGTTCAAGCAGTTTAATGTATAAAAAAGGACTTGTGCTGTGATAACTGTGTTCCTGGTTGTTGATATTTTATTGCTGCTTTAGCTCATTCGTCTCCAAGACGTAAGTAAGCAGTTATTTTTCATTTACGGCTACTTACATGGAAAGAGAGTACCTAAAATAATATTAGCTGTGGTCTGTGGTTTAAGGATCTGTGGCCTTAAAATGCAGGAAGGATTATACAAAAGGTGCCACTTTAGGTCTGATTTGCAGATGCACTTAATGGAAAGGTTTCATGTAATTCATACATTCGCCCTGCTGTTTTCATATATCAAAGAAGTGCTTTGGTTGACCCCAAACTGGATTTCAGTCCAGAGAAGTCAGACAACCATGAACACTCATTCCCAGTTCAATTCGGCTTAGATTGATCATTTCCCCTGTTTAGGTATGTGCAGATGGAAAAGAAAAACTGAAATTCTACAAAGGCAAAAAATAACAGATGCACATTTCCTCGCAGAGATGAGTCACAGAGAAGCTTCTCTTACCATCCTGCAGTCAATGATGCAATTGTAGCAATCAGCTTGTCTTCCTTAGACAGAAACTTTTACCAATCTGACCTTGGGCGTCTGATTGATGACCATAAAGAGACTTCAGATGACATGTTGATTCTCTATATAAACAAATTGAATTGAATTGCTATAAGACAGCAGCTTCGGGTCATCATATTTGCAATATTGCATGTCAAACCTGTAATCACTGCACATTCCTTGGACTGGAATGAAGATGTCAGGAAATATGGTGGACTAATGAAGTATATTACATAATGGAATCAGATGAATACGTTTCTTGCAAATGCAGAACCTCACCAGGAGGGGTCGTGAGAAGCGTCAACTGCGAAACCATTGACACATTTGTTAAATTCATTCAAACAACTGTTCCAAAAGAAAAAATATAAAGATTACACAAAATACACAAAAATGTTTTTGAATGATATTTGACAGTAGGTTTCCAGTGAAGCCACTTGCTTTAGCGCCTTCTCAATATCAATGCTGTCTCACTGGGATTAGAAGAAAAGGCCTCTGATTTTCTCATGTCAGATGTTACAGAAGTATATCATACATAACCGTATGATATAGAACAAGGACCTTGGTTGTGATGAACAGGGCCGCTGGGAAGAACGATGGTTTTGAGACCCCAGCCTTTCCAAACCCACCTGAACAGATCGCCCTGGACGATGAGCCATGCCATCAAACACATCTAACAGCCATGTTTTTAAGGATTCATTTCTATGATGATTTAATGTATGATCTAAACAATACTGTGGGATTTCCATAAATATTCTAATAAATTATTATGATGCTTAGTGTGGTTTAGAGCGGGGGTTCGCATAGTGGGGGTCAGGAGATTTCCACAATCATTGTGATCTGATCCTAGAGGCATTTCTGTATGATATGATAAAATATGTAATGTGAATGTCTCATGAAAGGAATAAATGTACTATAGTTATAAATAGGTGAAATCTTTATTTATTTAAAAAATTTACTATTCAGTTTTCAATGCACAACAAAATACATTTTCCATTGCATAATTAGGAATATATTTACAGCCATGAATTAAATGATTAAATGCCAATTTAAAAATAAATGATTTTACAAAATGTATATAATTACTTTGCTTTATGTGTATAGATTTATATAGTGAAATAATTTGATTTATTTTCAGTGGGTCGCCAGACTGACAGGATTGGGAACCTCTGTTTTAGATCATTCATTCAGGTTTAACATAACATTTACAATTTTTTCATTGGGAGAAAGGACAGAGTAAATGAATGTGGTAAAATGTTTTTTTAAGCATGAGATTTATTCCAAAATAAGTAAAAAACAAATTTACTTTCTCTAACACACAATAATTGAATTGCTAAATAATGTGTGATAAATGATAAATACATAAAATTCTTGGCATAAATAAAGCATTGTTATATGAATATTATTATCTAAGTATTAAAAGAGTTTGTTTAATTTTTTTTCTTTTTAGCAGACCAAAAAAAGGCATAATTAGGGCTAAGGTAGAGACAAAGCAAATGCAACATGTCAACAAAAACCGCAGAATTGAAAAGTTGAGTAAATCTCAGCACTGCTTGCACCATGTTTAAAACAAATTTGCTTTTAGCTTGGACAGATATTTTCAGCCGCCAAGTAGACAGATTTCACAGCCCTGTGTCCAGCTCATCAGCCTGAACTCCGGCTCATTCAGGTTTGAACCGTCCACTCGCTCAGAGGGGCGGCCCAGAGCCTGCTTTTGGCAGCTGCTAAAATTGTCTCAACTCTTTTTTTTGGCAATGCCAGCTGTGAGCATGATTCCTTTAGAGGAGGGAAAACATGCAAATGCTTGTGAGTAAAACTGTCATGGATTCCTTCATAGGTGGGGTAGTTAAGATTATGCTGAGTCAACCAAGGGTGAAGTCGTTTAAAAATGGGCTTTGCCTGCAGAAACCCTTTCTTATCTATCTTTTTGTTCCCTGCAGGTGAAGATGAAAGGTGGGACAAATAAATTGCTTTTAAAAATACATTAATATGTCTTATATTGTAAGCTTTCAGTAAACTGCCTTTAGCCCGAAATGAATGGGATAAAATGTGTTGGGTATAAACTCATTGATCCTCAACCCATCCCATCCTGGAAATAACTGGGAGGGGTCTGCTTGTCTGAATGCCTGCAGATGATTGGATGGAGGTGTGTCTCTTTTGGGAATCCCACTCTTAAAGCAGGTATATATATTTATTTTACACACAGGAAGCATAGAGTAAGAGTTTTAGGGATAATTACCCTTCAGCCCAGCTGATTACCTGTCATCCAACGCTCTCTGGTAAGTTTAAGCATGCTGGAGGCAGTGAGCAATGATGGAGAAATGATCCAAATTACCCTGCAGGCTTAAAAAACAGAGAGTGTTTCACCACTTTTCCTAAAAAAACATTTTCTTTCTTCTTTGATATCAGTGAGATGAAGACCCAGCAGCCTCTCCACGTTGCCACTCCAGTCAGACAGAGCCTTGCTCTCACCAAGGTGGCTGGAACCTCCATCTACCTCAAGCTGGATTCATCCCAGCCTACAGGTTCCTTTAAGATCAGAGGCATCGGCCACCTCTGTAAAACAGTAAGTAATCTCCAGTTTATGATGATAACAAGAAGCAGATGCAAAGGAACCAGTATGTACCTGTTTAGGTGGTGCAAACACTGGCTTGTTGTGAACTTATGCTGACTCAGTTGTTTTTCTTTCTTTTAGTGGGCAGAGCGAGGATGTGAAAGATTTGTCTGCTGCTCAGGTAAGCACTCTATCAAAGTATGATCACTGTTGTTTTTTGAATGTGTGATTCTGAGGGTTAAAGTCTCAACAGGAGGTAACGCTGGCATGGCGGCCGCTTACTCTGCACGCCAGCTTGGGGTTCCTGCAACCATCGTTGTCCCAAGTGTGACCCCAAACCAGACGGTGGAGAGGCTGAAGGACGAGGGGGCCAATGTTATCATTCATGGGAAGGTTTGTCATCACAGCAGTAATCTGATCAATAATGTCAAGTTTTTAGGCTGTGTTAGTAATAGGTAATAACTCATAATTTCATTGAGCATTAGAAAACCCAATCATATGAGAAGCCAATAGCTTTACTACAAACTTAAATGTAAACATCTGATGAAGGATTCAAGGTGTGGAAGAATTCTCACACCCAACAAAGACAGAGTATAAAATAAGCTGATATGAATATATATTTTGAAAAATTGATTTCTAAGGCTTTTGTCTGAGTAACTGAGTAACTAACTGAGCAAATAAAGCTGCATCTTGTTTTGTTGTTGTTGTTTTTTTAGGCTCTGAATCAAAGCATTGAATACGGGCAGCAGCTTGTGGCAAACAACCCAGGCTGGATTTTCGTCTCTCCCTTTGACGACCCTCTCATATGGTGAGACCAAGCAAGAATATTCATTCGTTCAAAATCTCCTCCCTTGTTGTCATGTTTAAACTGAAACCAATAAGGGCATTTTGTTGCTATTTAATGCAAAACACTTTAACAAAGTAGCACATAAATGTGAAAATTAATAAGAAAAAGACAGATGATTTAAATGTTCTCTTTTGAATAAATATAAAAAAGTAGGGCTGTGAATGTGTCTACCTTGTTAATCAGATAACCCTAAATTAAATTGCATTCATGGTGTTTGCTGAACAAACATGAAAGAAGGTGCTCTGGTTGGATGTTAATTGATGATAGTTTAACATTTACAAGATCCCTGTGATCCTGAACACACCATCCTCCTGCTAAAGCATGGGTGGTAGCATCATCATGTTTAATCCGAATGAGAATTTGAGACCAAATTTGCAAATAGCTGGACATAGAGCCTCCATCCACCCTGAAGGAGACGCCATATGTCTCAACTCTGAATACAAATGCAGTGAACATTTTCAGAATCTTATACCATCCACAATGTTTCCTGTGCATGAACTACTATTTGTTAACTCACTGTGGTCTAAAACAGAAAATCCCAATAAAATGCAGTTAAGTTCGAGCTTTCAGCATTTAAACAGATTTGAGAAAAAAATGGGTTTGGCCTTCTGTGGATAAAAATGAAAATACAACCCATCAGGAAACAGACTGCTTTCATAACTGATGTTAACGCTTATCATGTACCCTCATCCACACACAAACAGCTGCAGGGGCCATATTTCAGATATCACACAGCGAACATTACCTGCATGTCAGATAGTTCTCCCACATTCTGAATATCACTGTCAAGGTGTCAAACAAACACATAAGTGAATCAATCTGACAATGGAGCAACTGATAAGGTGATTTTTTTATTGAAAATAAAAACAGAAATTGAAACCTGGGTGCAGTTTCTACGGATTGTACACATTATAGTAAATCTGAGCGGCCTTTTGTGAAGGGAAGGACACACGTCTTTGGTGAAGGAGCTGGAACATGATCTGAAGGAGAAGCCTGGAGCCATAGTGCTGTCGGTGGGAGGCGGAGGCTTGCTGAACGGAGTGGTGGAAGGACTCCGCCGTGCCGACTGGGCTGATGTCCCCATCGTAGCCATGGAAACCATAGGGGCACACAGCCTGAATGCAGCCATGAAAGCTGGAGAGCTTGTCACTTTACCTGCCATCACAAGGTACGGCATATGCTTATAGGCCATTCTGCACCATTATCTGGATTGGATGTCTGCTTTTCCTACTAAAACAACGGTTATAATGTTTGTTGCCACAGCATTGCAACCACACTGGGCTTGGTGAGGGTCTCTGCTCAGACCATGAAGCTAGTGGACGAACACACAGTTTTCTCTGAGGTGGTCACTGACCAGGAGGCTGTGAGAGCTGTTGAACGCTTTGTAGGTGAGTGGAACCTGTACCAGAACAGATCGTATGTTAAAGATCAACTGACACTACATTTCTTCTTTAAAAAGAAGGAAAACTCTCTGTCTGAAAGTAAATCATAGTTAACTTTTACTGTTAAAGTCAAATAAGACCTTAAAAAATAGCTTATCTAAAGTCACAAAGAGTGAGGTTACTCACTCAGTGATTCACAAGCTTCTGATACTGCTTCTCATAGCGTGTGGGTGAAATGTTTGCCCTCCTGTAGTTGTAGGTTAAAGCAGCATCTTAAAAACACTCCTTCCTTTTGCAACATTACTGAAAAAAAAGAAAGAAGGAAATAACCATATAATATGGTTCACCCAAACCTCAAAACACACATTAGGGTGAAGTTGTCATATTGTTCAAGAAAAAAAATAAGGTTTCTGTGTCTCAGAATTTAATGTTTCTCGACCCAAAATGTCAGAATCAGCCTAAGACAATATGTAAATAACTAACATTTACATATTGTCTTGCAGTCATTAACCACTGTTTAATCAACATTTTAAAGGGATGGCTGAAAGGCCACTCAGAGAGGGAGAGGCCAGTTGTGAAGTACAGTGGTGGCAGTATCATGCTGTGGAGGTGTTTGGCTCACTTTCAAAACTACAAAATAAGGAAATAAAATGGTCAAATACTGAATCAATACTTTGCAGGACGTTTTAACATTTGGTACAACTGGGTCTTCAACCGGAGTGTGGCTATAAACCATGACTCATTTGATCCAGTTCTAGTCTAATACAGTCTAGATGAATAGATCCAGCTAAGTAGTATAAAAATACTGCGTAAGGACATCCAAAAAACCTAACCCAAGTCAATTACATCAATTTCTAAGGAAATTGTCTGCTCAACAGCTAATAACTGTCATAATCCTATCTAAGCCAAACCAGGGAAATCATAGTATATACAGTAAATATCTGGCATATGTGGCATTGAGCTGAATGGTCCAGTTTTTCTCTCTGTGCAGATGATGAAAAGATCTTGGTGGAGCCCGCCTGCGGTGCTGCTTTGGCAGCCGTGTACGGTGACACTATCAAAAGGCTGCAGGCTGAGGACAAGCTGCCACAGCACCTGGGTCCAGTGGTGGTGGTGGTGTGCGGCGGTAACAACATCAGCATGGAGCAGCTTCACAGGCTGAAGAAAAAGCTCAGCATGATCTAGTGTCAGTGACTACCCTGGGTCTTCCTGACCTTTGTGTTTCTGTGTGTCTCTGCCCATTAGCCAACCTTACTCTCTAAACACAGGTATTCATGAGCTTCATGGATTCAATCATTCCAAAATGAAACTCTCATTAACACCTAAACTGACTAAAATAGTGAGGTGGGATTGTGAAAATATTTTTACTTGAAAAAGATGCTAATGTTTTGTTTTTGTTTTTTTACTAATGACAGTTCAGTTTTATAAGGTTCAGACATTTATAAAAAAAAACTGACACATTTTGCTTGTTTTATATGTCCTTACTTGTAAAAACATTTGTGTATTTTTGTTCAGCTTTTTTACTTGGATTACAGATCAATAAATTATATTTCTTTGTCCTGTTATCTCTTTGCCTTCCTGCTCCTGAATCTAAACCATTTTCCTCTGGAATTGAAGAGGCAGGAGAGACACTTGGCAATTGAACAAGACAATGTACATTTAAAATGAGGAAAAACAACTGCTTTGTCTTACTTCAAGTTCACATTATTTAATTATCTTATTTTAGGAGTAAAAAAAAACTGAATCCATTGGCAAATCATTTTATTTACCTTCTCAAATTAAGAAATTTTTTTGAACTTTTTACCTGAGTGTGTCCTGAATATTTATCCTATTATATCACTATACACTATATTAGAAAATTTTGTCCTGATTCAAGTGATGAAGTTATTTTATTTAACAATTCAAACTAAATTATTTAAAGTAAAATACAATAAAAAAAAATGTTTTTGGTTGGGAACAAACCAGGAAAACCTGAAGAGATACAAATTAGAAAATAGTCACTGCATTCTTTAAATGCAGTATTTTACTGTGGTGTCCCACTCGTTTGATACATTTGCTTTATCGTAGCAGCTTATAAGTCTTAACAGTAAAGATCGACGGCTCAGGCCGTGCAACCAACAGCTGACAGGATATCTGATCATTGTGAACATTGTTAATAAGAATAAAAAGTAGGAATAAGTACCACATGATGGATGCTGTCCAGCCTTCTCTACGCCTCCCTCAAGTAATTCAGACCCCCACCTCTCTGTAATTGACATTTATTCATTCTTTGCACTGTTTTTGCACATCACTATTACTTTATTTGGATCTATAGTTATATATATAGAGTTATATATGTAAATATTTATATGATTGTGTGTGTATATCTGGAGTGTAACAAAAGTAATTTCCCTCTGGGATTATTAAAGTATGTCTGAGTCTGATGATGTTTAGCACATCAGGTAGGAGACACATAACATGGAGGGAGGTTGGGTCAGATAAGATGAAAATTATACATTAATAGACTGCATATAACTTGTTGGGATGATGAATGAAGTTAGAGGAAGAAAATGTGTTGAAAGTAAATAAGAGACTCAGTAAGAGTTCCACCTTCTATCAATGGAGTCCATAAACATAAGAATACAATGGTTTGGATATAAGCTTAACTGTGTTACAATGGCCCAAAGTCCAGATATACTGTAAAGGTAGTTGAGGATCAGAGGAGAAACTTGATGCTCACAGATTCAGTTTAACAAGATTGAGCTACAGCCATTTTCTGATAATCAGCAAAACATGTACAACTTAGAAACCAAACTTTCACATTTATGCACAACTTTGTGCCAGCCTGTTGCATGAAATCCCAACAAAATACTTTGAACTTTGTGGTTGTAACGTGACAAAAGGTAAAACTAGAACATTTGGGGCTGATAAAGACCTGAACAACATGAATGAGGATCCAGTTGGATCTGGCCTGGCCTGGCTGCTCTGTGAAGGTGTCTGGTTTACAGTATGCAATGATGCAACCAGAGTGTGTCATTGGGCCATATGTTAATAACATGCTGTAAAGGATATCAAATCCTACGTTGCAGGTATATGTTCACATGATAAAACATCATTACCTAATGAGTGTAAAAGTATATGACAGACGTGTGTTAATCATGTCTACTGTGTAGAAATGTGCTCTCTGTGCTCTTTTTCCACCGTAACCATGACTACAGGATTCAACAAACCACAGGAAGCTGTTGGTACATGAAGACATTTCTTTATTATGACACAGAAATCTCAAATGCCATTCGATTCTTTACATCTGTATAATCCATTTTAGATATGTTACGTATCATGTGCAGAGGTAAGACAGTAAAAGTTAAGTTAATGCAACCATAAATAATTGTAATAAATATCAAGTAAATGTACAGCACACGTTTCATCGCAACAATTCTTTGTACGGATATGTCCTTTTAGTAACCTATGTAACCCCTCCAGAGGAGGAGAAGTCAGAAGAGAGACAGAGAGAGCAGCGGTATGTCATCCTTTAAAAGAGAAGAAACAAACCCCACAAATCCTGCAAAAAATAAAAACAAAAATAAAAAAACTGTTTCACTGCATTCGCACTCAGTCTTGTGGTTTTCTCAAAGTAAAATGGTGATTTTACTCACACAGAACATGTTTCACCACATGTCCATGTAGTTCAAACCATCTGAGTTCAAGACAAAGGTGATGGAGATTGGTATTCCCAAAAAATTCATAAAAAGTAGCAACACAACAAACTGGAAATCCGACAGACATCATCTAAGTTGCTCATGTTAGATTCTTTTCTCAGAGTAGTGCAAACTCATAAATAAAATCAGAAGGTGAAGAGAAGCAAGTAAAAACTGCCAGCAAACATAACCTCAGTCTATTTACATTTTTCTAGATTATTATTTAATTTTCTTTACACAGTAAAACACTGGAGTATGGGTAAAATAAAATAAACGAGCTCTTCTTTCATCGAGTAAAATTAATAAATTAGAGGAAGAACTGAAGATTATTTACTCCCAACTTCTTAAATGTCTGTTTGGATTAGATGGAACTAAAACAATAATAATAATTTTTAGTGAACAGGCTTTGTTCAGGCTCTGCCCTAACATGTACTATTACATTGGCATAAATTAGCTTGTCCTTTAACAGATCGTACAATTAAACAGGCAGTAAACTACATAAAGCCCTGATCAGCACTTCTTCACACCTGCCCCTACAGTAGATTAGGTGGAAATTCAGCAGACTGGTAATCATACCTTCAAAACCCATTTGGTTCTCATCACACAACAGGCTTCTACAGCAAAGGAGAGGGTCAGAGCACCCCTGCCCTTAAAGGGGAGCTAACACTAAGCGTTAGCAGGGGCATTGCCAGCTTCTGTAGAGCTCTGTTTTTGAACACTGGGCTGTAGCATGTAAACGGTAAAGTGCTGTTCTGAAGGTTGATATGGACTTTTGTTAAAGTTGAAAAGCTGGCTCAAAAAAAGGTAAAAGGAACATGGGAACAAATCTCTTTCACAGCTGTTTCACTTCAATGCCCTCCTCAATCAGTGCAACAAAAATCAGAAGTATATGCAGCCAAAGCTGCTGATTAAATACATCCTCCCTGAATGAAAGAAAATGCAGAACTTCGGCAAATGGCAACGAAAAAACAGGAGGAAAACCAAAATGTTGACTTCCTTTTAAGATAAAAGTGTCTGACTTTGCTGCTGAAGCAGAGTGTTGACTTGCAGTCTGTCTCAGAGGAAGATCCGGGAGCGGGCAGAAGATAATGGTGGGTTCTACTGCCTGGGAATGTCTGGTTCTCAAGTCTTCTTAGCCACTCAGAGGATCCTCGCGGTAGTGGATGGCATAGCGCAGCTTCTCCAGCATTACATCCAAAGAAGTGTACTGTGGCAGTTTCACCATGAACATGCATGTTTCCACTCGAATGTAGCGCGAGTCTGGCTGACCTGGAGAAAAAATGGAAATGTCTTAGCTCTTATTTAATCAAAATCTACATGGTTATGATACTAAGTATAATTTATATCGCTTAACATCTCCTAGTAACTGCATTTGATATATTCTTCAAATTTATAAATGCCCCAATGGAAAAAAAATTAAGAAAAAGAACAAAGATTAAAATAAAATTCTTGACAATTGACTGTTTCTTAAGTTTTTATCCATTATTTATTCTAATTAATCATTTAGATGATAAATTAAAATTCTCATAATGACTAGCAACACATCATGAAAACAATAAAGGTTCTAAATGCCCATCCATAAATGCAAAAGAAAGGCATTAGAAGCATTGTTAAAGGCCTTATAGGGAAGCACCACAATGTTGAAAAAGATTATCTGGTCAAATGAGACCAAAATTACATTATTTGCACACATGCAAAATGTTTTATGTGGTGGAAAACTAATGAAAGAATGCATTCTGAACATAAAAGCTACACTGTTTAACTCAGGATGGTATGGTAAGGCTTTCAATGCAGCAGGCACAGAGAAGCTTTTTAGAGTTAATGGAATGACGGATGGATCTAAATATAGAAGAATCCTGAAAAGAAACAAAACAAACTTTGGGAGGTTGAGGTTTTTCCTTCCAACAGGTCAAAGACCCTAAATATATAACCAAAGCTACTATAGAATGGTTTGCATCGAAGGATATTAAGGCCTAAAGTCCAGCTAAAATCTGTTACAAAGCTTCTGAATTAATGTCTGAATATCTTGAGCTATTTTATTTTTTCTAAAACAAAATGAATTTCTAGAGGCAAAAATGGCTGACATTTTCAAATGGCTAAATCTGTTCCAACAAGTTACCTAGTTTGAGGGGAGACAATTAAGCACCACTTTATGCTGCTGTATTACATCATATACAGAATGGTTTAAGGTTATAATGAGACAAGACAGGAAACAGTTTAAGGGATGTGAATACTTTTGCAAGGCTGTGTAACCAGGCTGTTTGGGAGATAAAGGTAAAGATCAACAATCGTATATCTACCATAAAACATAAACATTGAGCTCAAACTTAATCCCCTTAGTGTAAAAAAAAACAACTAAGTAGTAGAAAAGGATCGGTTTGTCTTCTTGCATTAAAACAGGTCAAGTTTAAAGTCTATGTGAAGTGACAAGATGAACACTTTTATAACTGCTGATATGAAAGGAGGTACACAGATAGGAGAGCTGGAGTCTGAGCACTGCCCTGCAGGAAGCATGGTAGAAATTACCTGCAGCTCCATCTGGAGGGGCGATTTTCATGGGGTACGGGGGAACGTGGGCCGTGTCTGGTCCGCCATCTTTACACGGGCAGGTAAATGGGATGCGCTCCTGGTTGCAGGCAAATTTGATAAATTTGCAGAGCTCTTCCTGAGTGAACATTTCCAGGGCGGTCCAGAAAAACTCAATGTGCTGGTCGGTCTCCATCAGACCAACTTGGTACATGGTGTGAGCCTAAA